CTCAGTCACATGGGACCCACCTTCCCTAACCATTCTGCAGCAGGGTCAGTTCTGCACAACTTTTTAGAAGTAAAGAGGTGCAAGGCCAGCCCGCAAGGAGCACGTGCTAAGACGTCTGTTGGGAAGGAAAATGTCTATGTCAATCAGCCTTAGAAATCAATAGGGAGGGACCAGCAGTTAGCGTAATGGCTATGTCACTGAACTCCCATGTAGCCAACCACGGTTCGAGTCCCAGACCGGGTGGCTTAAACTCACACTGGGCACTTGTGCTTGCATGCCCAAGATCCCGAGAGGAGAATGGAGGAGAAGGGATTGCGGCATGGCCATCCCTCCTGGGGGGTGATTTCTCGCTTTCTGTCTCTCTGTCTCTCTCTGTCTTTCTGACAAGCGCATGCACCCCATAGCAAAAATCTCTCAAAAAAGAAAGAAAGAAAGAAATCAATACGAAAATTAACGTAAATATGAATAACAACTAAAGGAAGAAAAAGAAAATGCATACTTTCCAATGAGTTGGGGGGAATGTAGTAAATTAATAAAAAGGGAAAAAAGGGGGGCGGACAGCGAGGAGGGGTGAGAAACAAAAACGAAGAACAGCGTATTGGTCAGGGTCCCACTGCAGACAAGAGTCTACTAGGCAGTTTAAAGGGAACGGATTGACTCAGGTGACTGGAGACAGACTCCAGGCTTCTAGAAATAACCCTCAAACCCCACTACGAAACTAGGCTGGCAGGAGAGCTTCTGCCTCCACAGCCACCCAAGAACCTGGCTTCCATGGCACAGTCAGGAGAGCTGCCACAGCGCGAAACGGCAACACTCCTGCTCCACACCCAGCGGCCAGGAGCCGGCCTGGCCCTGGGGCCTCCACTGCACTGCCTCGGAAGAACTGAGCTCTCCCACCACAGCAGACCAGACCATTCCCACAGTCACTGCCCCCAGTCCTCGATTCTAACCTTCCCCTTCTGGTTTGCTGCATCATCGCCGCAGAAGTTGGGGGACATGTGGAAATTCTATGCAGAGGGAGAAGAAAAGTGAGAAAGCAAGTCGCCAGGTCCAGGACTCGAACCACAGTTAGCCATATGGCCGTCCAGCACCTTAGCCACCACATCACCTGCAAATGCCCTTTCTAAGCCCTCCAGCCTCTTTGGTACAAGAGTCACGATGGAAGGAGGTGTGGTGGGGTGCCAAGTACAGCGGGTCCTCAGTGTCACGATCCACTTCTTGGTTACTCAACCGTCAGACGACCGCATGTTACCACCCAAACAATGTATCTCAATCAATCAAGAACATTTTTTTTTTAATTTCACGGGCAAGAGAGTGAGCCAAGAGAGGTGGTGACGCTGCGACCCCCTCTCCCCAGGCTTCTAGCTCGCCAGGACTGTGGGTGCACATCCAGCATGTTTTAGGCCAACTCGAGATCCAAACCCACAGTGGGCCGCATGGCTTCCAGCGCGGCAGAGCAGGATGCTACCACCTGCACCACCAGGCTGGGCCAGGAGCACACGATTCCTTCCTCAGAGAGGGACGTGCACTCCCCAGCAGTACTCCAGGGAGCCTGGGTGAGGCGCACTCCTTCTCTGGTTTGGTCACAATCCTTTTTTTTCTTTTGGAGAGGTTTTTGCTATAGGGCGCGTGTGCTCGCCAGACAGACAGAGAGAGACAGAGAGACAGAAAGCGAGAAATCACCCCCCCAGGGGGGATGGTCACGCCGCAATCCCTTCTCCTCCATTCTCCTCTCGGGATCTTGGGCATGCATGCACACACGCCCGGCGTGAGTTTTAAGCCACCGGGTCCGGGACTTGAACCGCGGTCGACTACATGGGAGTCTAGCGATATAGCATTACACTAACTGCTGGTCCCAATCCTTCTTGATAATCTATGCACTAAGGCCACAATGTCCAGCCTTCCCAGCACCAGGGACTGGCCTCATGGAAGACAATCTCTTCACAGATGGGAGGGTAAAGGTAGAGGGTGGTTGCAGGGTAGGGGGAGTGATGTTCCCAAGAGGATCCAAATGTGCCACATCCACCATGCACCCCATTTCCACCATGACCACGTTGCAATAAACGCTGAAACAGTCACACAGCAGGAAGGTCCGTGCTCCGTGAGAATCAATGCTGCTAAGCCTGTGGGAGGCCGGGCCCAGACAGCAGTGCTGGCCATGGGGAGTGACTTCACGCCCAGAAGACGCCTTGCTCACTCACCCGCTCATCACCTACTCACCGCTGTGTGGCTGGGGTGGGGAAACAGGCCATAGCCTGGCACTGGTTCACGGCCTCGGGATTGGGGACCCATGCGCAAAGGTCTACCACCAACAAGCCACCCTATAAGCAAAATAGCAGAGGAAGAAAGGAGAGTTAGCACCGCCAACAAGTACACTCCTGCAGAGTGAATAGACAGACATAATGCAGACAGTACTCGCCTCTCACCTCTGCCCCAGCCATGAGGCATCTCTCCCCTACTGCTCACTCCACTGCCCTTTGCCTTCAGCAAACCTCACGTGAGCAGAGGTTCTTGCCCAGCGGGATCCAAACTTCACTGAGGAAGAAGTGAGCCCGTGGTCGTCCTGGGTTGCTGTCATGTTCTGTTAACTTTTATCTTGCCGTGGAGTTAGAAGTCACCAAGGGTTTCACGGGATCTGGAGACAGACCTGTCCTGGTCCACCGTGCAGCAGCAACTGCGTACTCCCTGGACTGCCAGGACCGGCCATGGCAGCCTCCATGGAACCTTGCCCACCCCCTCCCTTCTGTCTTCCTTGCTTCATCTGGGGCACAGGGAGCCTGGAATGGCCAGGCATTGGTCTCAACTTCCACATCAGTGGAAACCCTTTGGTGTTCCTGGTGGAAGCATTCTTCCTTCGTATACTGGGACCTCTGAACTACAGAGCCCATGGTCTTGGAGACGGGGGCACAGTTTCCATGAGTGTTACTCAGCCCGAGGTTCTCTGATCCATGGACTCTGTAGAAAAGAGAGGACATCACCTTCATTGGCTGCTGAGAGCGTATGCATGTCCTTCAGGATGGCACTTCAGAGTCATGCACGGGTGTCTTCTAGTTGACACTACCCGAGTCCCATTGGGCCAGAAAGCTGGGTGATTCCAGTGACAAGAGCCTGTGGCATGATCAGTGAATCCCAGGCGCACCTGCTACTTCTTTACTTATTTTCCCTTCTTAAAAGCAAGGTCTCTGTCAGCAGTGGTGTTGAGACTGCCATGACTGTTAATAAGATGTTCTGTTGCTCCATAGATGTTGCTGTGGAATCAAGGCAGGAGAGCAAAGGAAACCTACAGGAGAATGAATGCCCCCCGGTGAGGGCAGAGCTGCGCTGCCTCCATCATGAGAGAAATCTTAGCTTCCTGTCATCCGGAAAGGCCCCCAACCCCCACGCCACCTCTCCCTCCAGACAACTGGTCATGCAGTGTCACCAGGGCCTCGGGACCCACTCGTGTGTTCTCAGTGCTGCTGACTCGTCTGTCTCCTCGACCAGAGTGTGAGATGCTCAGAGTCAGGTACCACGTGCCGCACTTGGCACCTCCGCGGCACAGGGCCTGACACTCAGTACCCATTATAACACGAGTCAACACGTGTTGAGCATTAGCCGCGTACAAGGCAGCATGCCAGGCACCGTCTGCGTGTCCTCTAACTCAATGTTCACAGCAATCCTGGGAAGTAACGTGCTTCTCTACTATCTCACTTAGGGGGAATCTCAAAGCATAGCTTCAGGCACGGCTGGATTCAGACCCTTGCACGGTGGTCTATCTCTCCCTCTTCTGCTCAGCCTCTCTCCACCTGGCTTCCCCTTGCAAACAGGCTTCTCTAGCCAGAGGGAAACTAGTCGTCAGCAACAGTCACATCATCTGAACCTAACAGCCCCCCTGGGACAAGCCGGCCTTCCCACCAACTCAACATAGAAGGGAGGTCTCTGATGTGTCCCCCGGGCCGACTGCCTTCACCTACAGCCAAGGAGTGGGAACACAATGACTGGCGGCCTGCCCAGAGGCCTCCTCTAAGACAAGCAAAGCAAAAGATACAGGGACGCTTCCTTGGCAGAATTAAAGCATGGTCACCGAGACCCTGCATGGGCCGGAACCAGCAAGGCCCGCTGTGGGAAGGAGGGAAGAATGGCGCAGAATGATGAGCTGAGCCGCCGGGAGCACAGCGAGCTGTGAGTAGCAGAAAGGGACGTGCAACCACTCGCTCTGACGCCGAGGCCTGCAGGCCTTGCCAGTCCACCATGCTAGCTGCTCCTGAGCTGGAGCGGACGACAGCCAGGACTCGGGCAGACAAGCTCCGGTTGGAGATCTGTTCCTGAGACTTTGGTCTCTGAGCGCAGTGTAAACATGGGCAACGATGGCATCTAGCTATGGTAGGGCATTCAGCACAGGGCCTGGCACCTCGCGCTAAAGAGATGTTAGCTACCACGATGAGTGTTCGTTGAATGAGTGAGCGGATGCTCCTGGACTCTGACAGGGAGCCTCCAGCTGGTTCCCTTCACAGAAGGAAGGCTGGGCCAGTGCTGGAGAGGGCGAGGGCTTTATCCTCCGTAAGTATCTCTGTTCTTCGAGCTGGGCAGTTAACTTCTTAATTTTATGAAAAGTGGAAATAAAAGCATGTTTAGAAAACGTCATTCATATGACTGATCTATAACAGCTCTAAGCAAATTTTCAAGCCCTTTCTCTCCCTCCGTCTGATGAGCAACCCAAGCCCCTTCTACAAGGAGTTCTAGAGCCATCACTGATTCCCAAGCTCCACACAGCTAGGTTGGCAATGGGCACTGTCTCCATTTACGACCAAGCGCAGCTAAAGACCTTGGAAGGCTCTAAGGGCTGTAACTGGCCCAGGAGGTCATCCAAGTTCTCCCAGCCCTGCAGAGTCAAAAAGTCCGGAGTCCAGTCCCAAGCTTGGGCAGGGTGGGTGGGGTGGGATGAGGTAGGGCAGGGGGCAGGAACAGGACTACGTTTTGAGGTCTCTGACAGGCCTGGCAGGTCAGATCCTTCCCCAGTTGCAATTATACTTGGCCCCTAAGGCTTTAGAACCATTCCTAGGTGGAGCTGGCTCACTTCACCCAGACGTCTCAGACCAGGAGAGGCGCCCCTCCCTGACCCGGTTCCGCCCAGCATCCCTCTCAAGCTGAGCTAGAGCTGGGGAGGCTCCAGTCTTGCCTGGGTCTCCAGGCAGGGACACACCCCCAGGGAGGAGCTGCTGCAGTCCTGGCGGGGCCCAGCTCAGGCTGGCAGCCAGCTCCGTTTCTACTCCTCAGCCAGCCCACCCGAGGGACCAACATGGCCCAGGAGAGTCCTGCCAGCACCCTGGTGCCTGAGCTCGTCCAGCAGCTACTGCTGTCCTCTCGGGAGGCCAAGAAGTCTGCCTACTGTCCCTACAGTCACTTTCCTGTGGGCGCTGCCCTCCTCACCGAGGACGGGAGGATCTTCACCGGTAAGGGCAGCACCTCAGGTGCCCTCCTGGGTTCCCTGGGTGGCGGGGTCGGAGGAGGACACGCAGGCAGGGCAGCAGGCACAGGGGGAGGACAGCAGTGCAGCTCCCATCCTGGCGCCCACTGTGGCCCCTGCCCTGCTTGCCTGCCCAGACCGTGGGGATGGCGGGTGTAGCTGCTTGGAAAAAACCGCTGCTTTAATCCAGCTTTCAGTTCTTAGAAGATTGGCAGAGGAAGGAGGTGGAAGGGGAGGCAGGAAGGGGAGGCCACAGCTCAGGGCATCCGCTGTTCCAGTGGGCTGGGAGGGAGAGGTTAACACTTTCCTACCCTTCTTGTCTGCACCTTTCTAAGCCTTCCTAGCTCATATCCCCAACTCTCCCCCAACCACATAGTGTCATGCCCACTTTTAGATGAAGACACTGAGGCCCAGAGAGGTGACATGACTTATCCAAGGTCACATGGAACCCAGAGCTGAGATCCGGAAGCCCCTCTCTTTTCCCTTGCCCACTGTGCTGGGGTGCCCAGAGGAACACGCCAGAAATCCAGGCCGGTGACTTGTTAGTGGGGTGTGAGCCTTGCAGACGGTCCTGGAGGAGAGAAGCTAGGCAGGGTTCAGGGTTCAGAGTCCAGGAATGCACCACGGCCTAGGAAGGTGGGTGGGAGGGAACCCGGATCTGCACTAATCTCCTCCTCCTAAGCTCCTTTTCTTTGATTTGCTGGTTTATAGAAAAGCTCCTTTGAACAAAAACCCAAACTTGTTTTTGTTAAGCTTAGGCCATCTCCTGCAGGACAGCAGGGACCGTGTTGCGGGGGTGGGGGGAGCATCTATAGTCCCCCTTCCTGGAAGCCCTTGTCTGCTAACATTCAGACGGGCTCCCTGATCCCCTGTAGCATGAAGAGTAACCTGAGCGAGAGCTGCTATGTGAAAGGAAGCATAACCTCCAAGGCCAAAAGTCGCAGAGCTGGGATTGGAACCCACGACTCCTCTGACTCCAAAGTCTGCTGCTCTGTGGGGAGTAAAGAATTTCTGAGTGTCACCTTAAGACTAGGGCGAGGCCTGATGACTCCAAGGAGTATTAAACATTAACCAACCACCACAATCAACCTTGCAACCCGCAAGCAACTGCACAGTCTTGAACACAGAGTCGGCCTTTGGGTCTCTGGAGTGCCTCCACATGTCCCCAGATGGTACAGAAAGGGGCCTCTTGACATGCCCCAGTACCTGTGTTGACCCCTCCTGGGTGTTTATCTGGTGGAGTCATCACTGCTTGGCACATCTACCTCCCCCTCGGAACGGTGCTGCAGAGCGCAGGGGCTGTGTCGCACTTTGCACCGTTGACCTCCTGCGGCTCTGCAGCAGCTGGCTGACCCATGCAGGCGCTTAGTCACTGCTACCTGACTGAGGGAAGGGTCCCGAAGTTTAGAGAGCCAGAGGGGTCAGACAGGTGGTAGTGGCCGGGGTTCAGCATGTCAAGCCACTGCATCTTCTGGGCCCACGTGCCGCCCTCCACACTAGTTTCCTGGCACTGGGATTGGAGTGTGGTGTGGAGGTGCTTAGACAAACAGGTGTCAGGCAGCCTCGTCACCCCTCCAAAGCCAGCGATCCCACACACCGGAATGTCTGGTCTTTTCTCTTTTTAAAGCCTGCAAAAAGGAGGTTCATCTTCACTCATGAGCGACCCCTGAGAGCTCCTTTGAGTGAAGTCCGTGAGTCGGTCACCCGCACAGTGATCATCCCGCGGGCATGTGCTAAGCACCGACGCTGCCCAGTAACATGCCAGGGGCCGGGGATGTTGCAGTGAGAAGAAATGAGAGTCCCTGTCCTCACAGAGATACCCCGTTTTGCAATGGCTAGAGGTGGGAGCTTCAACCAGGGACTGTGGAAGGAAGGAAGGAAGGAGACGAGCAAGAGTGTGGTGTCACCAGAGAAAGGGCTGCACAGCACGGACTTAGGGAGACCTGAAGAGGTGAAAGCTTTTGAGTCAGGCTCCTGGGTTTGAATCCTGGCACTGCTGTTTACGGGCTGTGTGACCCTGGGTGAGACCCTTCCCCCTTTTGAGTCTCGGCTCTCACAGTCGTAACCAGAGACCCTAACACCCGTCTTCCAGGATTGCTGTGAACAGGGCTGGCACCCAGCGGGCCTGCTGGCAGGGTGGCAGCTGCAACTGCTCTGACTGGTTAGTGCCCATGCTGTACCAGTCATCGAACGAGCTGACTCTTGTTCTCATTGTAAGGCTTTAAATGAGCTAATTCCTGACAAGCGTTTACCACAGTTTCTGTCTCACCATTACAAAAAGTGGCTGCTTCCATACTACTATTCAAAGTATTATTTTTGCTATTAGTAGTAGTAGTATTCTTTGAAGGCAGATCATGAGAGATTTTTGAAGGGCAAGCAGATCTATTAAGATTCAGTTAGCGTAATGGCTATATCGCTGAGCTCCCATGTAGTTGACCATGGTTCGAGTCCCAGACCCGGTGGCTTAAACTCACACTCGGCGCGTGTGCGTACATGCCCAAGATCCCAAGAGGAGAATGGAGGAGAAGGGATTGCAGTGTGGCCATTCCCCATGGGGGGCGATTTCTCGTTTTCCATCTCTCTGTCTCTCTCTGTCTTTCTGGCAAGCACACGCACTCTATAGCAAAAACCTCTAAAAAAAAAAAAAGAAAGAGATAAAAAAAGATTTGATGAAGTAAGAAGTAGGAAGCCAAGGAATGTTACTAAGAAGAGTACCACGCCAACCAGCGGCTGGATCCCACATGGTCCACCACATAGGTCGAGTCTTGGACCTGGAGGCTTGGAAGGCATGCTGGGCACATGCATGTGTGTCCAAAGTCCTGAAGGGAGGAGGAGATGAAGGAGAAGAGATTGTGGCATGCTCTCACACTTTCCCTTTCTGTCTTTCCCGGGCAAACACATACACCCTCTGGCAAAAAAAAGAAAAAGAAGACGTAAAAGCAGTCTTTGTGGCTGCCTCGTCTCACAGGTAGCAGAAGGGCTGGAGCAGAGGAAGCAGTGTCACGCATCTGTCCACAGTGTCAGCTTGTGGCCTGGCCTATAACTGGCCCTCACTAAGGTTTGCTGAATACGTGAATGAACAGCTTGGGCTAGGACCGTGGCCAGTGGAGTGGACAGGAGCGAGATCTGAATCCTGTATGGGACAGATAGAGCAGGCCCGGTGGGAGTAAGATGAAGGAAGGGGATATGATTTTAGGACCTCCAGCCTGGTGTCTCGTTCTCGCTCTGTCTTTCTGGCAAGCACACGCACTCTATAGCAAAAACCTCTAAAAAAAAAAAAAGAAAGAGATAAAAAAAGATTTGATGAAGTAAGAAGTAGGAAGCCAAGGAATGTTACTAAGAAGAGTACCACGCCAACCAGCGGCTGGATCCCACATGGTCCACCACATAGGTCGAGTCTTGGACCTGGAGGCTTGGAAGGCATGCTGGGCACATGCATGTGTGTCCAAAGTCCTGAAGGGAGGAGGAGATGAAGGAGAAGAGATTGTGGCATGCTCTCACACTTTCCCTTTCTGTCTTTCCCGGGCAAACACATACACCCTCTGGCAAAAAAAAGAAAAAGAAGACGTAAAAGCAGTCTTTGTGGCTGCCTCGTCTCACAGGTAGCAGAAGGGCTGGAGCAGAGGAAGCAGTGTCACGCATCTGTCCACAGTGTCAGCTTGTGGCCTGGCCTATAACTGGCCCTCACTAAGGTTTGCTGAATACGTGAATGAACAGCTTGGGCTAGGACCGTGGCCAGTGGAGTGGACAGGAGCGAGATCTGAATCCTGTATGGGACAGATAGAGCAGGCCCGGTGGGAGTAAGATGAAGGAAGGGGATATGATTTTAGGACCTCCAGCCTGGTGGGCCAGGTGAGTGGCCAGGCGAGGCGCTGGCCGAGGTGGGAAGCTGAGGGCAGACTTGGGTTGTTCTGGGGCAGCCTGCTCGTGAGGGAGGCCTGGTGGGTGTCACGTGCATTAGTCTGAGCACTCTGTCGTAAGGGACAGAAACCAATCAGAACCACACGAGTGAGGGAGATCCGATCTCAGGGCAGCTGCGCTCAGGAACGCGAATGTCATCAGATCCTTCTTTATTCTTCTCTTTTCCTGCATCTGGGCCCCCTCCAGGTATCAGGGAACCCGAGTGCAGGCGGCCTCTGGTCTTCATTCTTAGCACCTCACGCCCAGAAAAGAAAGACTTTTCTCCACAAACTCCAGGTGGAAAATTTCCAGGGAAGGGCTCTAATTGGCCCATCTCTGATCATAGGCACAACCCTAGACCAATCGTGGTTGTCATGACAGGGCAGTGTGAGTGGGCCAGCTGATCCACATGTCCTTCCTTCATGGGGAATGGGTGGGCCTTTACTTCGAGCTGGGGTGTGGCGGTACCAAGCAGACCAAGCCAATAGCGACGTGCCCACACTTATAAGCAGGATACCGAGGCTCAGTTCTAGCTGATGCTGGCCCCCCGCTGGCAGGTGGGTATGTGGAGGGGCGCAGAGAATTGGGCAGAGAGGAGAGGAGACGCAGCAGGGTGCACGCCAGAATTCCTGGATCTCTTGCTGAGTTAGGAAGTGAGACAATGTGCGGAAAGGAAGGCAGTCAGGCGGGTTCGGCGAGGAGGGGACCTGAAACACAAGAGAAAGCCTGACACAGCAGCAGCGGTGATTAAAGAAGATCAGAAAGCAGAAAGGCACCACTGAACTTAGACACTGAGTTACAGTGTATGTCGGGACTGGTCTGCCCGGTTCCGTGACCTCCTGCTAAACAGAGCGCCAGCCCCCATGGAATTCCGCTCCCGGCCCGGGCGCGTCCCTTTGACCTTAAGTGCAAGGCTCTGCAAAGCCCGCCTTGCTGTCAGGACCTCATAATCACCATCGTTTTCCCGCCAGTACTCCTGACCTAATCCTGGGCCTGTGGCCCTCCCAGATGGGCCCCTGGGAAAGTAATCAGTAGCCTCCACGGCTGCCTCTCGCTCTCATGATGCACCACATGGGTGACTGTTTGCAGGAACAGCCAAGGGAGCGTCCAAGGGAGGTGGGGCTCCTGGCGAAGAAAGAGCTGCTGGGGAAAGAAAGCGAGGACACAGGGACCAGCCGATGGCGTAATGGTTATGTCGCTCAACTTTCACATAGTCGACTGCGGTTCAAGTCCCAGGCCTAGTGACCTGAAACTCACATCAGACGCATGTGTGTGTGTGCCCAAGATCCCGAGAGGAGACTGGAGAAGGGCTTGCAGCATGGCCATCCCCCCTGGGAGGTGATTTCTCACTTTCTGTCCCTCTGTCTCTGTGTCTCTCTGCACATACCCTATAGCAAAAATCTCTCTCTCAAAAAAAAAAAATGAGATAGAGAGAGAGGATACAGGGAAGAGTGAAGGCAGGAAGGGGGTGGGAAACCGAAGACAGTGGGCAGGGCAGATGGAGTCAGCCCCGGGCCTCACACGTGGCAGATGCTCAGCGTGTCTGTGGAATGCCACTAGGACGGGGAGGAGGAGAATCCTGGGGGACCACCCCTAGTGCCAGGGCCCACACAGATGTCCTTTCCCTCAGGTGCAGGTAGAGCATGCACCCGGCCATGATGCCACCTCAGGGCCAGCAAGGGTCTGAGACAGTGCGTGAACGCAGTACCTCGCGGTTGTGGCCGCTGCCAACTCTGCTGGCACCACCCCAAAGATGGAGAAGGTCTCCTTCTTCAACTCATGACCTCAAGTCAGTGGGCTCTCTCCTTTCCTCCGACTCTCCTCTCCTCTCCTCTCCATCGGCCATCCAGAGACAGTCGGTTTATTGGACCAGCTCTGATGAATTTGGGAGGAACAAACCGCGTAAACCCGACAGGGCAGCTCAGCTAACACGCTGTGCTCCAAGGCCGGTGTGGGGGTGTGGGCCTGCGGCTCCGGGAAGCTGAGGCGGGTGAGCGCGGTGAGCGTAGGCTGGTCTGGACAGCGAGACAAGACCCTGTCTAGAAAAGAGCAGGGCGCGGTGCTGCACACCATGGGAGGCTGAGGTAGGAGGAGTGTGACACAGCGAGACCCTGGTCCCTGTCTAAAAATGAAGGAAAAGGCCCTTAGAGATATCCCGGTTAATTGCTGATCCGACTTGCCATGATTTAAGCCTTCTCACCTGGTTGCCCCCAGATCAGCCCCTGCTCTCCAAATTCCTTCCCTGGGCTTCCTTCCTCTGCCTGGAGGCATCCCCTGGTGGACACCTGTCCCTCTACTGAGGCCATCGTTAGTCAAAGCAGGCTGTCAACAGCCCAGCCTCACGGCCCTCCCCCCAGGAACATCAGTCTGTCCTCTCCCTGTCACTCAGCGTGGTTCGTTACAAAGATGAGCTTTACTAAACCCCTGACTCTCAGGCTGAGTTAGGCCAGCTCTCATTCAGGAAACGCTGCGTGTGCAGTGGGGAGGGCGAGCAACAGGGAGGGTGGGGGATTTTGTCAAGCACACGGACGTGACCTTCTCTAAGTCCAGTGATTCTCAAATGGGTCCCAGGCGCACAGCCTCAGCAGCTCCAGGGAATTAGAAATGCGAATGCATGGGTTCTGGCCCAGGCCTACTGAGCCAGCAACTCCAGGAACGGGGCTTAGAAAGCTATTTTAAGAGACCCTCCAGGAGATTCAGATGCCTGCTTGCGTGAGTGTGAGAACCACTGCTCTAATCTCACTAAGATACCTCCGGAGAATGGGTACAATGTTCCCTGCCATTGCTCTGCTCTCCCGGCTCACCTCGTTCATATCATGGTAACTTCCGCTCCTAGCCCTGTGCTAAGCATCTGAGCACGTGAACACACGGCCTCACTGAAACACCACACAGAATAACAGTCCTCTGTATCTTACAGGTCAATAGGAGCATCGGGCTTCCTGCCACCAGCCCCCACTTCACCTTCTGTAAAATGGTTTATAAAAATATTTGCCTTACCCAGCAGTGAAGAGGATTAATTGACATAATGCAGGAAAAGTATTCCACAGATTGCCTGGCAGCTGAATGTCCCGTAAGAGAAAGCAATTAGTAACAGCGCAATCATCATAATATTTTACGGGCCAATCTTGTAATGACGGGTCCCTAGGCCGATGCTAGCCTGTCTCTCACGTGCCTTTCAGAATAAGCAACGGCAATGCCAGGAAGGGAGCTGGTCTGCCTGCAGAGGATGGTCTATTTTGTGGGCTCAGAAAGGCAAAATGAAATCATCTGGCCATTCAGCGTGGTTATATGTGGCCAAGGCTTCCTTCCTCTTTTTTTAGTTTTGGTTTCTTGGACCAAGGTTGGAAAATTACACCTAAACTTGCTAGAGATCCCAAATACAGTTACTCTGTGCACCTTGGACATCCAGCACTGAAGTGCCAGTTACGCTTGTTCAGTCATAGGTCACCGCTTTAATCAGCGCAGGCTGTGCTGTGGTTGGAATATTCGCCTCTCCAAGACTCTGGACGAGCTCTCATTGCCAAGTGGGCAGTGTAGGAGGGTGGAGCCCGTTGGGATGTGTTTGGGTCACAGACCCTCATGAATGAGTGAATGCCGCCACATAAAGGGCTTGTCGGAGTGGGTGTTCTGTCTCGCTCTTCTACCATGTGAGCAACACTTCTCTCCCCCGGAGGACGCAGCGCTCGAGGCACCATCTCGGAAGCAGAAACCAGGCCCTGACCAGACATTAAATCTGTCTGTGCCTTGATCTTAGATTTCCTAGCCTCCGGAACTTGAGAAATAAATTTCTGTCTTTATAAATTACTCAGTCTGTGGTGTTCTGCTATAGCACACAACAGACTAAGACAGGCTGCTGTAACAAAATACCACAGCCTGGTGGTTTAAACAACAGGCATTTATTTCTCACCGTTCTAGAGACTGGGAAGACCAAGATCGAGGTGCAGCAGATTCTGCCCTTGGTGAAGGTCCTCTTCCTGGCTTGGCCACCTTCTCTTTATGTCCTCACATAATGAAAAAGAGCTTTTGTCTCTCCTGTTCTTTCGCTGGCATTAGTCCCATCATGGAGGCTCCATCCTCCTGAGTACATCTGAACTTAATTATCTACCAAAGGTCCTACCTCTTAATACTATCACACTGAGGGGTAGGATTTCCACATAAGAATTTTGGGAGGACACAAATATTTAGTCTGAAACAGAAACTAAGAGCTCCCTGGTGTTACTGTCCCAGGCCCTGGCCCATACTACAACTCATGACACACACACACGGTCTCCGCCCTTAGAAAGCTTACGCTGTAATGGCGGACTTCGATACTAAAGACATTTATTCCAGGACAGTGTTAAGTGCTGTGAAAAAAATTAAAGCAGGCAAAGTGGATAGAGAGGGTTGGGAGTAGTGAGAGGAAGGGTAATTTTATATAGGTGATCAGAAAAAGCTTCTCTGAGGATGTGACATTTTTTAAAAATTGCTCACCAAAGAGAGACAGAAAGAGAAAGCACCCACACACACAAACCAGTGAGGTGTGGTCATGCCCTCCATTTCTCCACCCCATCAAGACTTTGCACATGCAAGTGCACATGCCCAGAGTACTTTTTCAAACCACGGTGGCTGGGTCTGAACCTGCCATTAGCCATGTGGAATCCAGCTCCCTATGCACAGCATGAACCATTGCACTATGGGGCCAGCCCGAGGAGGTGACACTGGAGGAGACTCCGGAGCAGAGTGAGCCATCTGCATGTACAGGGAAGAGAGCTGCGGGTAGCAGCAGCAGCCAGTGCAAAGGCCCGACAGCAAGACCAAACTTAGCACCCTTGGGAAGCAGCTGGAGGCCAACACGCCTGGCGAGGAGGTGAGGTTCAAGAGGCTGGCTGGTTGGCACCAGATTATGTAGACTGGTCATGGAAAGGATCTCAGAGTGCCTAATGGCCAGGGCCTTAGGGGTACAACAGTAATGTGCTGCTCAAGCAATATTGGATCCATATGGAAAACCGTGGGTTTGGCTCCCTGGTTGACAAGCACACATTGGACTCACAAGCTCATGATCCCAGCTCACTGAGAAGGCTTGGATGGGGGGGTGAGGGTCCTGGCATGAGCCCCTGTTGAGTGTTGAAGATTTTTTTTTTTTAGTTTTTGCTATAGGGCATGTGTACTTGCCAGAGACAGAGAGAAGAAAAATGAGAAATCAACTTCCGGGGGGATAGCCACGCCGCAATCCTTCTCCTCCATTCTCCTCTCAGGATTTTGGGCACACGTGCCTGGTATGATTCTCAAGCTGCTGGGTCCAGGACTCAAACCATGAAGCTGGCCATGTGGGATCCAGTGCCTTAACCTCCACAACACCTGCTGGCCCTAAAACAAACTTTTAAAAGTGCCTGAAGGGTAGAGACAGAACCACTGTCACACTCTGTCTGAAAGCAGCAGGGGGTCGGTCACACAGGCCTGCCACCACCAAGGCCTCGACTTCATGTGATTGGCAGCGATGGTAGCCAGCCGCTGCGAGGCACGGCTTCTGACCAGGTGCTTTGTAAGACAGACCTCAACTCATTCTCACCAGAGGCCCATGAGGGAGACCCTGTCATTATCATCTTACAAATGAGGACACGGAGCCTTAAGGAGAGTCATTCTCTTTCCCAAATCCTCTGAGACATATGGCAGTGGGTCCCAGGGCAGACGGGAACCGAATGGCCCTCTTTCTACACAGCACTGTCAGGGCAGTGGGGAGTGTGGGTGCGCTCTCTGCTACAACGATCTTTCTCCTTAATTGGCCCATTGCCGTGTTTTGCACATAATAGAGGAAGAGGTCCCCATCTGAGGCCCTTCTGAACTTCCAACACGGACACCTGTGATGGCCCTGTGCGCCCGGTCTTCTACAAGCTTAGCAGTCAGCTTTAACCCCAGATCTGTGTGAATCCCGTCTAGTGGGAAGGCTCCAGGGACCCAACACAGGGGCCTGCTGACTCGTGGCCTCTGTCAGTTCTGGACACGATCCTGGGAGCCTAAAAACTCTGAGCTCAGTGGTCGAGTTAACCACTCCTACCTGCCCGCGTGAATAATGTAGCGACAGAAATATACGTAGGAAAATTGTAAGAGGAGGTAATGACCAAACCGTTTCCAAATAAATACAGCAGGAACAAACATTGCACTATCACAGTGAAGGCGTGGCCTTAGAAGAAGGAGTGTGAGTCGAGGAACAGAGGAAGCCGATGAAACAAGTACTAACACAGCGACTCAGATAAGATGGCTGCTCAATTCTCTCTCACCATCAGGCTGGCGGGGCTGGAGTCCAGGGCACTTGGGCCACACCGCGCGGCTCAGCGAGCTTGTCCTGGAGATCAGATTCCTTCTGCCATCCCTACCATGGTGGCCCTATCCACATGCTCAAACTGGCACATATTGTCACACCCGTGTCCCAGCCCCTCTGCCGCATCAGAGAGGCCATGCAACATTGTCATAAACACGTCACTAGAGGTTGCTCTTCACACCCATCGCATCACTCACACTCCACTGGCTAACGCCACAGGGCCACACGAAGCTTCAAGGTGGGCTGGGACATGTGGCCCCCAGCTGGATAGCCATGTGTCTAGCTAAACTTGAGTAGAGTCTCCTAGGAGAGTGGACACTGGACACGATTACCAGTCTCTGGCACGGGGCGCCCTCTGGCCTGTAAGTATTCGTGCACATCTTCGCTCCCCACATGGGACCACTTTCCACCCCCTGAGGGAGACTGCACCCGCCCTGAGAGCAAGGTCCCGCAGCACTGCACAGCCTCTGCCTCTGCTCCAGAAGTGGCTCCGCTAGTCCAGTACCGGGAAACTGGAAACACTTCACCCCCACTCCCGCGATCTTCAGTGTGGAGCAGGGAGGGGGACAGCAATAAAGCCTCCCGTGAGGAAAAGAGGACAAGGAGCACCCGGCAGTCACCCGTCCCTGCTGGTTACTGAACCACTAGGCAGGAAGCATCACACCTCCTAGCCTGGCCACACTCCCCTCCCCCTCCTTCTCTGGGGTAACCTTGTCCACTGTCCACGAGGGCCCCTGGCTTTGCTCCCTGGGGGCTTCCTTCTTGACCGTTTCCGTGCTTAGCTGCACGTATAAAGTGGGTGCTGAAGAGGATGCCCTCTGTGGGGACACATGGCTCCCTGGGCATGCTTATGGTGGAGTCTTGGGGGCCCAGGGGCTTCTCTATGGATGGCAGGCTATTGTGAGCCTGACTTGTGACTTCTTTAGCTATCCAACTCTAGCGAAAATGGACGAACCTCCTCTTCTATTTGCTTCCGTATGACCACACAGGAGGACCACACTGAACGAGCCCTTCTGCCCATTTCTGCCAACCCTTTTTTTTGCTTTCCCTTCCGCCCTTTCTTCTTTCCTTCCTCCCAAGAGACGTACATCAACAGGGTCTTGCCATGCCGCATTCCTCGCAGCCAGCCGGGATCACGTGTGTGTGCTGTCATGTCCAGTGTTTTCAGGTGGGCCCAGGATCCAAACCTGGGCTCTGATGTAGCCCCAGGGCACCCTGCAGCACTGGCTGCACCATTTCCTTCTCTTCTGACCGCCTTCCGTGCCTGACCCGTCCTCGCTGCCTCAGGTAAGTGGTGGCTACTGAGGCCTCCACTCCAAGGCTAGGGAGGACGGTGATGCCCTCGCCAGATCTTTGCCTCAGCCGAGTCCCGTTACCAGGTGGAGACATCTCGACGGCAGGGAGCCAGGTCTGTCTTCCAGGATGTCACAGGGTGGAACTTCACCAAATAATCTGTCACAGACGAATGAAAGTCGTCAGCTTTCCATCTTGCCATATCTGGGTTTTATTTTGTTTTGTTTTGTTTTATCATAGGGCGTGCGTACTCACTGGAGAGAGACAGTGAGGGAGAAAGAAAGCAAAAAATCACCCCCAGGGGTTTGCCACACAACAATCCCATCTCCATTTTTCTCTTGGGCTTTTGGGCACGCACACACACACAAACGTCTGGCATGTTTCTCAAGCCGCTGGGTCCAGGACTTGAACCAGGCAGCCAGCCATATGAGATCCTTAACTCCCCTGCTACCTGCTGGCCCCCATCACTGTGTTTCCTCATTCCCACAGCCCAGCACTAGCCCGATGCCACACACTTTCGTTTTTGTTGTTGTTGCTGTTAATATTGCATCTCACTTTCAGCACAAATCTCTGTATTAGGTATAGCTTATACTGCCACAGCAAAAAGATCCCAAAATGCAGTTCACAGAAAAGACGGAACTCTGTGTTTCTCTTACACAACAATCCGGCATAGGCCGTTGGTCTAGGCCAGTTGGGTAACTGCTCCACGAGCTGGCCAGGATCCCGAGTTCCTTATCTCTATGCTTCTCCATTCCTATGACACAGGCCACAGGGCCAAAGCTGCCCCCACCCCCAACCTTCCAGCCTGCGGAAGGCAAAAAGAAAGAGGTGAGAGGTAAGAACTCGCCTTACAGAGATAGGTGAGCCAGAGCTTCCACTTCATGGAGTACCACATGGCTTTGGCCAGAACTTAGTCCCAGACCGCCATGCTGCAAGGGAGTCTGGGAGATAGGATTTCTACCTGAGGGCCACGTGGTCAGCCACCTGGGAGCAGTAGTCGCTCGTATTACTCAAAGGCAGAAATAGAGCACGAACACGGGAACAATGCCTCTGCCTCTGGGAGAAAGGCAAGCTGCGAAGTGACACAGACGCACACCACATGCCGTGGGGCAGCAGGAAGTCTAGTCCCCACGGCCACTTGTCAGGGCCCTGCCTCCTTGAAAGTGGGGTTTCTTCATCAGCCATCTGTGCGACCTTTTGTTTCCTGGGAGCAACTCTGACTCCCCGCTGCCCAGGAAAACCCCTGCTATAAGGGAGCTTTCTGAGGGCAGGACCGCCTTAGCCTCCTCCCCTGGCAGCCCGGGGATTGCCAGAGGCTAGTGTAATCACGGGCACTTTCCACAGAACTTGGGAGTTTCTCATTTGTTCGCTGATTTATCACTTTTGAGACTTTGTTTTGCAACATAACTCACACAAAGCCCTGGCTGGACTCTGGACCTGGCCAGTGACCAGCACCAGAAATTTTGTCCAGGCTCAGACTTTGAATCAGGACTTGACTTGACCTGTTTGAGCTGCTATAACAAAATGCCACAGCCTGGGGAGCGTAGCGTACACACGACAGAGACATGTTTCTCACACCCACGAGGCCGGGAAGTTGTGCCTGGTGAGGGCGACTCCCTCATAGAGGGCACCTCCTTCTGCGTCCTCTCTGACTGAAAGAGCAGAGCAGCTCTCCGGGGCCTCCTTCACAAGGTACTAAACCCGCTCACGAGGCTTAGTCCCCCTCATGGTTAGTCTCATGGCCTAATCACCTCTGCAAAGGTCCCTCCTCCCACTGCCATCACTTTTAGAGTTAGGATTTCAACAGAGGAACTTTGGGGGAACACGAACATTCAGACCAGAGCAGGGCCCCATCTCTTAGATCCCAGTCTGGGGGATCTGCTTACCCTCCTAAACCCCAGCACCTCCTCGGCCGGGACCTCTGCGGGGTGCCGTGGCCGCCCTGGTATGCTTCCCCTGCTCCCAGGCTGCGCTTCGAGGTGCAGCCATCAGGGAAGGGAAGACAGCAAGAGGGTCCTGGGAAGGGCCACACCCCGTGGGTCAAGAGTCCACAGACGTTTCAAGTGCAGTTGCCCCCTTCTTCTCCCCGCCTTGTCCAGAGTGACCGGCCCTCCTGGCCCTGGAATAGGACATGCAGCAGGGATGTCTGCCAGAATGAGCCCCGGGGTCTCA